AAAAGGAATGGATGTGGACAGATGTCCCAGAGTAAGTACAGAATGGAAGTTTTCTTCCAAACTTTCTGTAGTGAGTGCTTCATTCAAGCTAATGGATATCTGGCCCCTAGAACTCCACTGTTCTGTTATCTCTGTCCTGAGACTTCTGAGGATGCCAAATGTGCTAATGGCACTTTCACACTCACACATGCAGAAAGAGCACCCAAGCAACAAGCTACCTCTTTGAACAACTAAATGGTGGGGTCTCATATGATGCTGCCATTTCAGTGGATGAGAAGCAGCAGAAAGGCCACAAGAAATGCTGAGTTCATTCTGAATCTTTTGAAGAGAAGTAGTTCAAAACTATTTATGTTTTTCCTTTACTGTTACTGTGTAACTTGAGGGGTACTGTTACTGACACAAAAATCTCCATTTTAGTTGTGAAAAGTCTGGGAGGCTTATAAATAGTAATATGGATAAAAGGCTTTCAGGAATTTATAAAGTCAACCCCATTATTTTTGGGCCCAGAGAAAACAAACTAATAATCAAACAAGCCCCACTGGATTCAAATGTGATAAAAGAGAAACAATGCAAGGCAGGTCAAACATCCTTGCAGAGCTAAGTACAGGAATGTTTCAAAGCTAGCCAGGACTAAGAGGGGATAAGGGTAAGCATTTCACAAGTCTTTCCCAATGTAAGATTCTAATATGTTGCAGGTAACACAGATAAGGATATTATTATTCAAGCTTACAGACTGTAAAAATATAATAATTCTGAAGAGGGAAACTCAGTAGATCGCTTCTCATGGACTTTCCATCCTGAAATATATGATGTTGAATTCACCTCCTCAAATACCATATCCATCCCAAGAGAGTCACTAACAAAAGAAACACAGAGAAACGGCAGAAGCACGTGGTCTTCACACTTCTTTTTGGTCTGTACTATTATTTCTTACATTTTTCTGTTTTCTCTCAATTTTCAACATTTAAAATTACCCTTCTTAGCGTGGTTTGAGTTCCCCTTTGAGATCAGATTACTGATGTAAGAAAGAACTAGATGGGGATACAGTTAGTGACAAGCTACCCACAATCTTCACGAGTAACATTTCAAAACTTTGGATATTGAATGAAAGAATCAGAATCCACTGTAGCAAGAACACATCACTTCTAACAAATTTGAACAAGGATCTGGAGAAGCTGCCTCTTGAAAAAAAAAATTATTTCCCCTGGCCTTGCAATAGTTCTTCCAGAGTCTTCTACAGTTCCTGTTCAGTCAATAAATCTGTGCAAAGAAAAACACATGTGCTTAGCACAGTCATTTTTGCCAGCAGGAACAAAAACAGCTTGGCACCCACTGACTAGACCACCGACTTGCAGCAGCACTTCACTACATAGTAGTATACACAGTGCCAGCTGGGAAGAGAGACTGAGGAAAAGGAGGAGAGCTGGCTCAAATGGCCACAGTGGTCACGTAGGGCCAGTTTTACCATATAGGAGGCAACAGAGAACTCAGCACAGCCTCCCTACCGTGCAGAGCTTCTTTTCTCATCTGTCTATCAAAATAAAAACTCAGAAACCAGGTATTCCTTCTCTCTTTCACTTGAAAGAAACCTTGGACTTGCAAAGCATTTGCTTGCTTTAATTCTTGTTCAGCTGGATTTCTGACCAGGACTTCTCCACATTGTCCCTACACTAGAGCTCCAAGTCAATCACTACCAGGGATGGCTTGAGAGCTAACATGGCTTCACCTCCTACTTTAGCCCAAAGAAAATCAGAGCAAATCACCCTGAGTCTTTACTCAGACCTGCTCTCTATGTATGCTCCCACTAAACTAAAACAAGATTGAATTAGCCTCACTGAAATAAAAGAGGATTGATCAAGTGAACCTTTCTGTTTCCATTTGCTCATTGAGGAGACGAGTCCTCAACCATAACACCCAGCTTCAAGAAACAGAAATGTTTGGAATCCATGCGCGAAAAGATTGGTTGGTTGGGTTGTGCTCACAGCAGACATTTCAGCTGGGATTACCATCAATTTATCCAATGGCAAACACTGCCTTGGTCAGAGTCCAGTCAGACAGTTGCTATTCTGTGTTGGTTTGTCTGGGCCCAAATCCCACACAAAACCCCCTAAACAAATACATCTGCCTCATCCTGGAGTCTGCACCCACCACTTTACAAACTGTCTTACAACTCCATCACCAAGAAAGGATCCCAACACATTCTTAATCCCTCAATCTCCTGCTTTTGCAAAATGGACACCTCCAAATCCACTTTTTATGCTATCAATTTAGAGACCACAAGAACAAGAGAAGATGCTCCGTTGACCCTCACAGTATCAGTTTTCCACAGAAAGGCAGGTGGAAACATCCTGGATATTCAGCAGACTGGAAAACTCATCGCAAGAGAGGCTTTTCCAGAACAAATAGGCTTAGCTTTTCTTGTCATTAACTCCTATGTGGGACAATGCCCCAGATTTTAACTGCAACAAGGGGAAAATAAGGCTTTTAAAAACACATTCACAGACAGCACTATGTTTCATTATACCCTTTGCAGAGCAGATGGCAAGATGAGGCTATGCCCTCTGGGCCTGCTCCAGGGAGCTAACGCAAATGCTTTTCTCATTACAGATCTCAGATGATGTTGGTGTCATCATTTCACTTGGGGATTTGGGTCAAAAGGCTTTGCACTCAAATCTGTTTTTTATATAGCACAAACGCATCCAGACTAGACCCTAACGGATAAGCAGCGGGGAAGCTACTACGCAGTACAGAGCCCTCTCAGGCACTTCCAGGTCGCTGATTTACGCTCACGCATTTACAGATTGAATCTTTCTAATCCAATTAAAATCTCATCTGAGCTGTCAATACAAATGTAGCCTGTTTTATTTTAGTGTCTCATAGAACATGCATTAATCTGGAACTGTGAAAAAACAGCCCTTCTGGGCAAATCCTGCATTCTGCCAGCCTAGTTTCTATCCCACGTTCTCCCACTCACGAAGGCTTTATTATTGTTGCATTACCTGCTTATACAAGACATGTATCACCATCATATCTAAGTGCTTTATAAAATGTGTAATATTAACCTAGTGAAAAATAGCAAGTTTATCTTCCAGCACACTTCCTACTCCTATTTAATCATGGCTAGGTTACTATCATTAAATATATGAACATGAATTTGATCTATTTTTATTTCAATGGCTTCATTTGTTTGAAATATATGTGCCAGTTACTAGCTGTCAGCACGTTTAATAAGTTATAGCATAGACCAACAACTCAGAAACTTTTGGGGCCAAAAGTTTCTGCAGATCATGTACAGTTGTCATTAAATTTTGCACTGAAAACATTATAAATCATGCTGCTTAATAGACTTCCACAGGGCAGCTGTGAACTATTTTGCCACAAGCCCATGGAACAGCGACGTTTGCCAGGTATAAACCAAAAAGTTAAAAGCACCCTAAATACCACCACAAACTCTCAAACTCCTCATAGAAGTCGATCCTTTTCTCAGTAAGCAAAGCTCAGTGGCAAATAAAAACATTTATTTCCATATGACCTGAATGTGAGCAGGTTCAAGTTTTAGCAAGCCAAGTTCAAGAGCAAAGCATGTCGGTGACTTTCTCAGGAAAGCCGGCTTTAATGCTTCAACAGATCTTGGTATTGAAGTGAGCTAAACTTTTATACAGCCTTTAATACTCCACACACAAAAACACCAGGAAATACACTGACAGTGCAACAGATTGCACATTACATTCACATCCAAGAGGAAAACATGCTACCAAGCAGAATTCCCTAGAATCAGTCAGCTGCATTTTCCAAAATGAATGAAATTCATTTCATAGAGGGGGCAAATTAACTCAGGGATTTTGTGAGCCCCCCTCCCTAGGAAGAGATTCGGCATTTACTAATCAGTCAGAAATGAGTCAAATCTTTCTTCTTCTGCTGTCCTTATTCCTCCTGAAACAGCTGCAAGCCTTATCGAATCCGTCTCACTTCCCTGCCACAGGATACCACAAACCCTATAATTTTTCACACTTTCAAGGGCAGATGAAAGGAGTTAATGGAAGATAAACCCATACAATAACTTTGGCTGAGGAAATCCTTGAGTTCTAAACTTTGAAAAGGAGTGAGAATATTTGGGAAAGGAGTGCTCTAAATTCATCTCTCATTCATCCTCAAGCATCTGCTTTTTTAAATCACTGTTTGAAATAAAAGCCTGGGCTAGCTCCCCTTACCATTGATCTGGCATATTGTAGCTGTCCCTATGCTCGTCTCCACCTGCAAACCCAAGTTATTTTTATTACTATAGCACTGCAAAGACTTAACCAATGGACAAGGACTGACTGGACTAATGTTATAACAAGTGTAATGCAAGAAGATTGCTGTCAAACCCCTCTAATCGGGGCATCCAATATTCTTTTTGCTATTCCTCATCTCAGTAGCACAGTCTCAGGCACACTCACATGCACCTCACTTTACATAACCCCCAATGAAGACAGATAATGAAATACACATGTGATACTGTTCATTAGCTATCACCTTTGTGGTGAAGACTCCAAAACCAGTAGAGTCTTGTAATCTCTCTGTTTTGCACCCATGCCAAAACATGAGGGCAGAAATAGAGAAGCCTTGTCATGCCAAACACAAACAGAAACTGCCTGCTACTGCTAATTCACAATAATTACTGAAAAAATAAGCAACAAAGTTCACCTGAAATAACTCCTCCCTGCTTGCATCTGTTGCTGCATCAGCCCCATTTCATGGGTCAAAGGCAATTTACGGATGAAATATAATTACCATGTTCATTTTATTCTTCTATCTCACCAGCAGAACATTATGGATCAACAGAACTCTATAGTCCTTATTTTATATACAGGCAAACCACAAGATTTTGCACTGTATGACATTACATAGCAGATTTTATCCTAAATTTATTAACCAAAAATCGATGTCTCGATCTCCTTCTTTAAATGGAGGAGTTCATCCACCCCCCAAAACAGACTGACATGCCAGGAGAAACTTACCACAAGTTCAGAGAACCTGGCATTGAGCTCTTCTGCTGGTGGGATTGGGACAGAAAACTCAAGGAATTGAAGGGGGTTATTGTCTTTGAGGTTGATTTCGGGGAGGTCACTGCCCCCAAAACAACAAAGAAACCCCAGCGCATGACGATTCCTCTTCCGCGGAGCCATGGTCATGGTGTATGATGCTATCTTCTGATCATGTTCTGCAGGAAACAAAATAAAAATAAATAAGACTCCACTGGAACTGTACAGCTCTTTGCAGTTACAATAGTTATCGCCCATGTAAAGAAAGAGAGAAGAGAAAGATTTGAGTTACAAAGCAGCAAAATAAACACTCATAAAAAGGTATCAGAATTTTAGCAATGTCAGTATCTTCCAGTAATATAGCATCACTCCTCCCAGAGTTTCTTTAAATGCCTTAAATCCTATGTGGGATTTCCCAGCAGTGGGATCCATCAGTGACACTCAGTAACCAGGATTGACTGCTTCTATTAATTTGATCACAATAAAACCAATGATGAAACGACTAAGTGGAAAGGCCATTTTCATCACTCTGGAGTCAGACCTGCAGCCCTAACTTCCCCCTTCCTGGCCACGCTAGCTCAGGAGGCTATCACGTTTTCAAACACACATAAGTGGCTGGGGCTGTTTTATGAATCCAGGAGATAATCTGCACTGTGCTAACGCATGTTTTCAGATTTACATCTAAGCTGCCAGATCTAGTCTTGACAGGACCCAGGCTTGAAGGGCTTTGGTATCAGGAGTGGAAAGGCAGGCAGGAGAAGGCCCGAAGGAGGAGTTGGAGAGTGACTGATTCCACCACACAACACCGCTCGCGAACGGCCCATCCAAACAGGAAGCCTCCTGCCAGCAGTTTGAAACGAGGGATCTGTGCAGTCCACAGAGCGCTGCATATTTTGCCCTTTTAAGGGACTTGTTGTTTGACAGTTCAGGGGCTTGTGTTATATTTTTTAAGGGCTTCATTTTTTCACTTAATCGGCTGAATAAGGCATATCCTTCAAGAGCAAATAATTAAAGCCTGTTGCGAAGCCAGGCTCCTCAGACACGAGGCAGGGCAGTGGCAGGAGGCAGCAGGTGAAGGCAGCGACAGGAGGCTGGATCAGCAGCAACACAGCTGAGCTTTGTCACCAGAGCGCCCAGCCTGCCCCACGGACCTTGCGCCTGTTTGCTGGCCAGGACCAGGCTGCTTTACGGTCTCAGAGAGCCCAAGCGAGAGAAGCACCTTTATGACAGCAGTTTCATAGGGGGACTCAATGTATGGTGGCCAGCCAGAAGCTCTCCAGAGAGAGAATTTTGTGTAAGAATTTAGTGAGCATGCTCACCAAATAAAATAAAATCCAACACACAATCTCCTTTCGGCACTAGGTGTTGGGCAGGAATCACTTGCCCTCCTTTGCGGTAGGGCTGGTGTATCTGGCACCTCTCCTTTTGCACTGGAGGTCATCGGGGGCAACTCTCACACAGCTGGAGGGAAGAGAAAGCCAGGTGAGCTGCTCCCGAGCACTGCCCTTCTGCCCTCTGCACACCTCAGCAGGGCTCTGTAGCACAGCGTGGTGCTAGTTTCAAAAGTAAGATCATTGGATCATAACTATGAGATGCCAAAGGCCAACTTAGCCCTGGAACCTAGTCTCTGACACTGGGATCTAGCTAGAAAAAGCAAAATGCCCTCAGATCTAGGGCAATAATGTGCATGCAAACTTCTCTTTCTTCTCCCTGGAGAAGGTTTAAGTTCTTAAAAGATTTCACAAGAGAACCTCAGAAGTTGACCCTGTCCTCTGGAGACCGTCTTCTCAGAGACTACTCCAAGTGCAATGTCCGTTATGACAATTTGGCTGTGGATAAGGTTAGAACTCATTATTCTGACACAACATCATCTTGGAAGGAACCCAAATCAATGAACCAAATTTGATTGATATCCAGTATGAACTACATTTGCATCAATTCAGCTGCAATGAAATTCTGGTCTGTAAGAAAACATGATTAAAAAAAATATCAACTAGTGCTTGTTCCCCTGGTGTCTTTATGATCTGTTGGGGATCCATATTTAAGTCATCACATCTCCTTGATTTTTGGTGGCAGAAATGGTTTTAAAAGTTCCTCTATTAAGAATCAACTTCTGCGAAAGTGCTTCCGAAGGAAGAAAAACGCTGAAATGAACATCTTTCATTTTCCTGAAGGAATAATATAGGTTTTATAAAAAAAAATTTAAAAACATATGACAGTAACCACAAAATTTTTTTTTCTTCTCTCTATTGAAAGATCTGTTGCTTTTCAACTTCTTATAGATAAGGCAATTTTATACAAATGAAAATTATATGCAGATTTCCACTTCCACTTCTAAAAAACATTGAGAATCAATGGGAAATCTCTCTAGAGTAACCCTACTATTACACAAAACTCCCTCCCACAGCTCTTCTTGGCTGCACTGTCTTACCCTTTTGCGCAGCACAAACAACTTGCTGCCATTTCAACAGCTAAACACACACGCTCTGCTCATAGCTAACCCTCTCCTCCTTCCCAGCCCCATCTATGGTTCGGCTCAGGTCAGGAGTCCGAGCCTGGAACTTTGCCCGAGATCTAATTATAAAGATGTCCTCTTCCTCTGACAGGGAGTACGTGTTCATTTCTAAACCACTTGGCCCACTGACCAAGCATAGTTAACCTAATGCAATTTCTCCGAGTCTCATCGGAAAGTTTAGCCACGTGTGTTAGGATCCTGCCCACAAGGATCCTCTTTCAATTGGAAGTTCTGAATCCTTGTTTCATCTCACTGTCTCTTCATTCTCTTCTCAGAAATTGTATTTTTCCCTATAAAAATACGGAATATTCCACACAGAATAAGACATGTGAAGCTACTGTGTCAGATGCCACATATATATGACTGATGTCAGATGTAATGTCAGGCAACTGGCAAGCAAGCCTTTTGTCACACATGGAGTAGTAACCCAGGTCTTTTGATTTGTATTTTCACTATGCTAAAGAGTTTCCTTGTTTCCAGGGTGTAAAATAACAAATAACCAACCACATAAAATGCATTAAGTTAAAAATACTCTTTCAGGAAGGCCAGTAGTACTTCAGTAGCTGGAAAGCACACCTGCCACCGCACTGGGCACAAATCATCAGACCAAACAGTATGGATCAATGGACCACAGGAAAGAAAACCCTGGAAAGCAAGTGGGACCTCGTGTAACAACAGCCCTTTAATTCTGGGAGTCACAGCCAGTCATAGTCACTGTTAATGGTTTGAACAGGGAGGGGAGTTTGGCACATTTTAAAGCTGATTCATTGGTTTTCTCTGCCAAAGACAGGAATTTCAAGGGAGAGGAGGAATGAAGCAACATTTTAAAGCTGATTCATTGGTTTTCTCTGCCAACTCAGGAATTTCAAGGGAGAGGAGGAATGCCATGAAGCAGTTGAGACACTCAGCTCCATTCTGTTCTGCACACCTGTCAGGTGCTTTATGGTACAAGTTTCTGTGTTATTTTTCAGCATTTTGGTATCCCTGCTTGAGCAAGGGCATTGGACTAGATGATCTCTAGAGGTCCCTTCCAACCTCAACCATTCTGTGATTTTTCTGCCACAACAAAACTTAACCAAGAATTTCAAAGAACCTCACATACTTGCATCTTGTCTCCTGCTAACATCATATACTCTTTATAATATATATCTATATATTTTTCTTTTCTCCCTCCAAGAAAATATGGCCTAGGACCACAGAAGAGGTAAGTGCTATTTGAAAACTATCCAGTTTAACTATATCCTTGAACCTAGCTAGTGCAATGTGTCTGTCAAAAAAAATCTATTTACTTTTAGTTCCTAAAGAATGCTCAGGATGTGCTGAATGATTAGTGACCACTAATGTCAATCTGTTAATGCTCAGAAATCCAATAGTATTTAACTTCTTGCCTGAAACTAACTCACCAATACAAAAGAGTTACAAAGATTTTTAAGAGACCTTCTCCCCTCTGAAAGATTATTGTGGACCTCTTTCTCTGTCTTCATTGGCAGATAAGGAAGTAAGATGTCAACAAGCAGGTTCCTCATGTACTTCCCAAACCATACGTCTACCCAAATTTTGGTCATAGAAAAACCATTAAAAAAATACATTCAAATCTAGAATAAAAACACAAAAAGGGGAAAACAGTGAAGTACTTAAAAACAGAAAATGATCATTTTTTCCTTTATATATTTTTCTCCTCCTTTCAGTCAAGCACAGATTAACAAGACTCTGCATTTGAGCTGACCAAGCAATTTATTTATTGCTTTTACCTGCTAAGAAGATATTCTGTTTTCACAAATGTATTAAATTTATTGCAACTCACACACACACAGCAACTTGCAGGATCACAGCTAGTCTCTCCTCTTAGACTGCCCGGACAGGTTGTGGAGTCTCCTTCTCTGAAGATCTTCAAAACCCGCTTGGACGCAGTCCTGTGCCACGTGCTCTAGGTGACCCTGCGTGTGCAGGGGGGTTGGACTAGATGATCTCTAGAGGTGCCTTCCAACCTTAAGCATTCTATGATTCTATGATATAAGAAGCTCTACCCTGCTCTCATTTAAATACAAGCAAATCTCACGTGTGTCACCCAACACTTGTGAATGGTGATATGACCACTGCAGCTTAAACTGCAGATAAAATAAGTAAAATTCACAGCATGTTTAACATATCCTTCATCACCTCAGCATCTAAGCATAAAACATATTTGGATATGAGCACAGATGTCAGACTGAACAGACACTTTGGAGACAGAAGTACATTTTGCTTTGTGCAAACACAGGTTCCCCTTCTAAATTATCAGCTACACACTTATGCAAGATTGCCAACACCTTACACTCAGTGGGTCAAACTGTTCTATTACTTACAGACTGTGGATCCAATGAGATTGCATACCTGCAAATATAAGTAACCTTGTAGGTCTGAGGGCAGGACTTCACCATCTTCCTTTCCTTACCCTCCTCCAGTCATCACCAGTGCTGTATCATCTTCAATGATGTCATCAAGTCTTCTATTATCAGAGTGCTGCAGTTTCAGTAATGTCTACAAATATCCTCAATTTTCTACTAATATCAAAAAAGTCTCACCAAAATTAATTTTCCTGTCCCTCTTATCATGGACCAAATTTCTATACCTTACTGCAGATTGCCATGCCTCCTTCTACAAAAAGAAAGAAGAGAAAAAAAA